TATTCTTTGTGTCCAGATAGAATAGGAACAACAAATCCTTAATATGTGTGCTTCTAATGAGGCGCTGTGAGGAATCAACTCTAGGGGCATCCAAACTTGGTAACTATTGCTGACATTATCCCCATGAAAATCTCCAGGGATGGAGGATCTATTTATTTCCTCACAATCATGCAAGCCTGACCCAAGAGAGACGCAGCATTTAACTCTAAACGTTCTCCTTCAATGAAGAAATATCCCTCAATTGTCAGTCCTATCTGTGAATTTGCAATCATCCGTGGACAAATCATGGAGCCAATAGAGATGGGGATTCCCTGAAAGCACCTGAGAGCAGCAGAGATCAGCCAGGTAAGAAGGGCTGGGAAAGCAGGTGAGGGCATGGTTACCTCCAACAACAGACAGCACACACACTACACCCCTCCATTTCTAACCAAGTTCTAAGAGGGAAAACATCTCTTGCTTTGACATGCACAAGCCTTTCCCCTCTAGAATGTGATGACCATTGCAGAACAGAGCAAGTGTGTTTCCCAGACAGAAATAGACAGTAAGCATTGGAAAAGGAAGGAGCTAAGTAGGGTTGCAGTGCTAGGATCTGTGATGGCAGATTCCTAGAAAACTTGGCCAAAAAGTCGGAACCAAAAGCCACTTCCTCCACCTGGACCCCCAAACCTTCTCAAGAGCCTCTTCTTCCAGACATTCAAGACCTTTATATTCAGCCCCTAATCTCCACCTTTCTGCTTTCCTATGTTCATCCACTGTGGTCTATGACTGAATAACAGAGGTGTCTCAGAGGGAGGTTACATGGATTCTAGGCAGAGCCGCGCAGAGGTGTGTCAGCTTGGGCTGAAGTCCTGGGGCTAAGTAGCCTACGTTTTAAAGTCCAAGAACACAAATGTTCAGTGCTGCATATTTGTTAGACATCTCAAGAGACAGTCACACAACTAACAAGACTCACAAGAAATCGATGCATGAAACCAGACTTCAATGTATTTAAGTTATATAAAATAAATGCTA